AGACAAATACCACATGATCATCTCAATAGATGCAGAAAAAGCATTTGACAAGGTACAGCACCCATTTATGATCAAAACACTCAGCAAAATGGGAATAAATGGGGCATTCCTCAACGTAATAAGGGCCATATATGAAAAACCTACAGCTAATATCATACTCAATGGGCAAAAACTGACAGCTTTCCCACTAAAATCGGGAACACGACAAGGATGTCCGCTCTCACCGCTTCTTTTCAACATTGTATTGGAAGTCCTAGCCACAGCAGTCAAACAAGAGAAAGAGATAAAAGGCATCCAAATAGGAAAGGAGGAAGTAAAGCTATCATTGTTTGCAGACGACATGATAGTGTACATAGAGAATCCTGTAGACTCTACCAAAAAACTCCTCAACCTAATAAGTGAATTTGGGAAAACAGCAGAATACAAAGTCAACATTCAGAAATCAAAGGCATTTTTGTACACCAGCAATGCAATAGAAGAAGAAGAAATCAAGGAAAAAATACCATTCGATATAGCAAGAGAAAAAATAAAGTACCTAAGCATAAATTTAACCAAAGACACAAAAGACCTGTATGCATAAAACTATACAACATTCAAAAAAGAAATTAAGGAAGACACAAATAAATGGAAGCATATACCGTGCTCATGGATTGGAAGAATTAATATCCTCAAAATATCCATAGTACCCAAAGCAATTTATAGATTCAATGAAATCCTTATTAATATACCAATGACGTATTTCACAGAAATAGAACAGACATTTCAAAAATTTATATGGAACCATAAACGACCCCGAATAGCTTCAGCAATTTTGAGAAAGAAACACAAAGTAGGAGGGAACACAATACCGGACATCAAACTCTACTACAAAGCCACTATACTCAAAACAATCTGGTACTGGCACAAGAACAGACCCATAGACTAGTGGAACAGAATAGAAAGCCCAGAAATAAGCCCAGGTCTCTACAGACATCTAATATTTGACAAAGGGGACAGAAGCATAAAATGGAGCAATAACAGCCTCTTCAACAAACGGTGTTGGGAGAGCTGGACGGCTACATGCAAAAAATTGAAATTGGATCATCAGCTGACACCATACACAAAAATAAACTCAAGATGGATAAAAGACTTAAATATAAGTCACAACACCATCAAAGTCCTAGAGGAGAACATTGGCAGGAAACTCTCAGATATCCCATGCAGCCATTTTTTCACTCATATGTCTCCTAAAGCAAGGGACATAAAGGAAAGAATAAACAAGTGGGACCTCATCAAAATAAGAAGCTTCTGCACAGTGAAAGAAAACATCAGCAAAATGAAAAGGGAGCCAACCGTATGGGAAAATATATTTGCTAATGATACATCAGATAAAGGTTTGATCTCCAAGATATATAAAGAACTCACTTGACTCCACTCTAAGAAGACAAACGATCCAATCAAAAAATGGGCAAAGGACCTGGGCAGATGCTTTTCTAAGGAGGAGATACAGAGGGCCCAGAGGCATTTGAAAGGATGCTCAGCATCACTAGCCATCAGAGAAATGCAGATCAAAACCACCATGAGGTACCACCTCACACCGGTCAGAATGGCCATCATAAACAGATCCACAAGCAACAGGTGCTGGCAAGGCTGTGGAGAAAAGGGAACCCTAGTACACTGTTGGTGGGAATGCAGACTGGTGCAGCCACTATGGAACGCAGTGTGGAATTTCCTCAAAAAGCTGAAAATGGAACTGCCTTTTGATCCAGTGATTGTCCTGCTGGGACTATACCCTAAGAACACCAAAACGCCAATACAAAAGAACCTATGCACCCCAATGTTCATAGCAGCACAATTTACAATAGCCAAGTGTTGGAAGCAACCTAAATGCCCATTAGTAGATGATTGGATCAAAAAATCATGGTACATATACACAATGGAATACTACGCAGCAGAAAGAAAAAAAGAACTACTGAACTTCGCGATAGCATGGATGGAACTGGAGAGCATCATGCTAAGTGAAATAAACCAGGGGGCGAAAGACAAATACCATATGATCTCACCTATAAGCGGAACCTAAGCAACAATGCGAAGATGCAAGGGAAATATGACCAGCAACACTGAAAGGAAAAGGAATCAAGAATGACAAGAGGGAAGGGGGGGGCAGGTAAAGGGAAGGGTAGGGGAAAGTCAAGGAACATATAGCAAGGACTCATGGACAAAACCAAAGGGGAAGAGCTGAGGGAGGGAAGAAGGGAGGGGGCAAGGGAAAGTGGTGGGGGGGAGGCAGAGACAAATGTATTTTAAAAGTAAGTAAATTTAAAAAAAAAAAACTTATATATTGGTCCTTTAAATGGCTCTTTGTTTCTCCAGCTACCTGTCTTTAGCACAGAGCAACCCTGATGCTTTTTGCAGTTAGTTGTTATCTGTGTACTTTTTGGGCTCTCGTGCTGTAGGCTGGAGATACCCACTTATGGTTTAGACCCCACTCTTCTCAGAGGGATCCAACTGGTTGATTCAATATGTTTCTGGTGCTGCTGCCTGTGGGCTTCCTGCCCATCTTCTCAAGTACCGCACTCCTTACCAGTTAGATTGTGCTAAAGCTGATTCTTCTGTCTCCAAGGTTAAAAGGCTCCTCTCTCACTATTGTTCATTTGTTCATTCCAGATGATTTCTCCACAATTTAGTTTTAATTCCAGGTTTGTCCGGGAGGAAGTCAGTGTGACTTCCTCTCACTTCTCCGCCATCCTGATTCCTCCAGCATTCTTTCTATTCTAACATAAAATTACAGAGACTCAGATGCAGATGACCTCCAAAGGTCTAGCTGTAGCTTTGCGGAAAAGGATCCCACAAAATGGTCCCTCATCATAGATTTATTATTGTGTTTAGTTTTTCTATCTGTTGTGTAATACACGATAGTGCTATATTACATAAGCCTTTATAATTATTCTTCAATTTGTTTATGTTGTAATTGCAATCTAGTAATTTGGTGTACCATATAGTGGCTTTAAGCAAATAATATGGTGAAAGGGAAAGACATTTAATATTAGAATTCTTGGTAACTTGAGCTAAGTTCTAATATACAGTGTGTGTAAATCCATGAGCTGTGACATCCTAGGTGTCCTTCACTTGGTCTAAAAGGAAAATGCAACAAACTTCCTGAAAGTCCATTTTCCTCTCTGTCATATATGTGTTCAACAATAAGAGAAATGTAATACACACCAATCAAGAAAGAAAACTCAACTCTTCTGAGATTCCTGAGCATGAGGTAGAATGTTAAATTGTGTTCCTTTAAAAAGTAGATCTTGTAAAGATCATAAAATTCCATTAAGCTATCTTAATCCTTGGAATCATAGAAATTTAGAGACAGGATGCACATCAGAATTTACCCAGTCCAGTATCACACCAATATAAGTATTCTCCTAATACATCCCACTCTAACTCCATTCCAGTGACCTTAACATTGCACACACTATAACTCATTGAGAGTCAAACACAGGACGTAGTTTGGTATACTGGTGAAGAATAGGGACTCTGGAGCAAGACAGCCAATAGGTGTGTCATCTTGGGCAAGTCACTTAACTTCTTTGTGCTTTACCCATTCTCTCAATTGCAAAATGATGATAAAAAATGATGATAAAAGGAGGAGTCTACCTCCTTCATAAGAGGTAGAAAGATTAGATGAGCTAAGCCAGGTAAAGTATGAGAACAGCGCCTAGTACATAGCCAGATCTCTGTGGACACTGGATGTTGTTAATATTCCATATTATTACATTTTAGGAATGCTGTATGTCCCACTCACCTAAAGAATTAATTAGAAAGAAAAACATACATTCTCTAAGAATAGGTAAGCAAGGTGATGGGAGAAATGACCAGAGCATGCTGGGTAGCAAGGACCAATTACTTAGGGTTATCATTTCACGTACTGAAGCATAGATCCACACTGGCTTTTTCTTCATTTAAAAAAACACTTTATTTTACCATTTTAAAACTCAATTCTGCAAAGAAAATAAAAGTCCAGCTTAAGACATTTTTATAACTCCGCATTACCAATTAAGATGCCATTATGGGTGGCAACTGTGACTCATTATAGAGGGGCCTTGTGCTTACCTATATGCACATGAATGTCACAGTCTGGGCTCATTAAAAATCTAGTATATTCGTGGCTCAGAAAGATAGCCTTACTTAGTTTCTCTATTACTGTTATCATGATGGATGCAAACAGACAGATGCATTTACTGGTTTCCCTCTAACAATAATAAAAAGAAACAGTTTATAAAATCAGATTATATTAAAAAATTGCCTAATGATAATAGTTTATAAGCTTATTGTAGAATAATGATGTATTCAAGAGTCATCATGTGATGGAAAAAAAGGTAATATGAAAGATTTTCTCTGTGAAGAATGACTACAGATGAATTGCACCGAGATACAATTCTCTGATAAGGGACAGTAAGAACCTCTAGAACACTTAATAATAGACTACTCAGGGTGAATTAAGGATTGCAATAAAGGCCCATAAATTAAAAAGTTTCTGTATGATTTCTGATAAAAGACATGCCAAGGTGAAATAAAGAATCATTGGAATCAACTGATATTCTGTCTATAGCTTAGTAGGACATAAGGAGAAATTTCCAGGAACCAAATGAAATATAATTTCTTAAGCCTAGGAATTTTTATAGCATATATTTCAACTATATCTACTTAGAATTCTTTTTCCATTGAAAAGAAAATTTTAGATTGGGGGTTGAGGGATTGAGCAAAAACAGGAAAAAGGCTGTTGGACAACAGAGTGGTGATTGCTGGGGAGGGAGGAGGGTATAAGGGGACTAAAAAGTAATGTAAAAAATGCAATTATAATTTTTTTAAAAAATAAATTTACCTAGCTTCCAATTATTACATAACTATTTTTTTGATGCGTTCTGATATTTTATTTAGAAAAACATAGCACTGAAGCTGCAAGATTTTAATTTTTTCTTTTAAATGCCACACTAATTAGATGTAAGACAGTCCTGAATAATAAAAGTATTTACACATTGCATACAAAATAAATATAAAATAACTGAAAAATTAGTTATCCAGTTATTCATTTTGCATTCCTGCTGTTCATCTGTTTCATTTTTCTTTGCCTTTTGTAAACCCTCTTCTTTCTTGCTTTCAAATCGACTTTTGGCTCTGGTTTTACCCACTGTATTTCTATCGGCTTTTCCTCAGCTGGTGTAACAAAGACATCTGCAGTGGGATCATGTGGAAGAATCGTCTTTGGTTCTTTCTTCCTCAGTTTCTGCACCTCTTTAACTTGCTGCTTCTCTTTGTATTTTGCTGTCATAGATCTTATGATACGCCGATGAGTGTTTGGTGACAGGTAGTGAGGATTTTCATATAAAGTTGGTCCTCCAAAACTTCCCTGGAAAATCTTTATGAGATTTAAGACAAAAAGAGGTCCTGTTTCTACAAGAGCTGCATCTTCTTCTATGATCTGAAAGTTCCGAAACCATATCCTATTACCCAAAACAGTGAAAGTAAACACGTGGCCCACAAATGGTTGGCTTTTGGGATGATACCGTGGTGTACTAAAGATCTGAATTAAGAGTTCTTTTAACAAAGCGTAATGTGGTAATTCATCAAAAGCAGGGTCAAAAGACAAAAGGGGCCGAGAGCCTTTCAAACAGTTTCCAGTCAGCTTTAGTTCAGCCAGGGTATGAATATTTTGAACTAGAAATTTAGCAGATGGTCCATGAGGTGAATTTGAAAGCCACATACAGAGATCCTGTTTCTTCTTAGCTTCAAAGTAGATACATTTATTGCAGTTTTTCATTTCACAAACCTCATTAATCACAAATAACTTATCTTTACGATCCATTTTAGCATCTGCTTTGGAATGAGGCATCAACCTTCTCAAGTCCTCCATTAAATGTCTTGTTCAGAAATGTATTCCTCTGAAAGAAAAGATGAGAATCCGTTCTTTATTTTTCCACCTACCCTTGCAAATGGGGCCTGGGATGCGGTCTCTGTCTTCTTCCTCTGCTTCCTCTGCCTTGTCGCGCTGCTTAGATGGCGGCTTGGCACCCTTTTCGGTTTTTTTCGGCCTCTTCTCTGGAACTGCCAGGCCCCCACGCTGTTTCCTCTTGGTGGCCGCCATGTTGCTTCGCCGCCTTCCCCGAGGGCCTTCCTTCCGGCACCGGCGCTCGCTCCCTTCTCCGATCTCTGTGGTCACTGTTTATTTTTTAAAAAAGAAAAAATTAGAAAAGAAATGTTTTAATGGAACTTAAACTGTGTCCCTTTGTGTGTCAAGCCCTGGTGATGGTGTTTGCATTATAAACACATCTTGTTGATTTATTGAAGTGGATAACTTCAACAAGCTCACACTTTTTACAGGTAAAAGAACCAGGGCACAAATGAGAAAACTAGGGTACAGGGAAACTAAGCAATGTGCCCAAGGTGATGCATGTACTAAGTGGTGAAGCCACAATTTAAAGCCAGCAGATGTTCTTGAGGTGGAAACTTTGTCATCTTTACTCTAAGGTTGCCTAAATGTAACAGTCTGTACCATGCTACATTATGCAGCAGCCAACAGGAAGAGGTGGAGCCTACATTCCCCTGTGAGAGATCTTCAAGACATGTCAAGTTAAAAGAAAAAGGGGGAAGGAAAAGAAAGCTGCAGAATTATTTGATGATTTTTCAAGTATATTTTATTGATTATGCTATTACATTTGTCCCATTTTTTTTCTCCCCTTTATTCTCCCCTTCCCTGTACTTCCTATCCCATCACTCCCACTGGCACTCCCCCACCGTAGTTCATGTCCATGGGTCATATCTATAAGTTCTTTGGCTTCTCCATTTCTTACACTATTCTTAAGCTCACCATGTCTATTTTGTATCTACCATTTATGCTTCTTATTCTCAGTACCTTTATCCCTTTTTCTCCCCACTTCCTCTCCCCACTGATAACCCTCCATGGGATCTCCATTTCTCTGATTTTGTTCTGGTTCTAGTTGTTTGCTTAGTTTGTTTTTGGTGTGTGTGTGGGGGGGTGTTTGTTTTTTAAGTTCAGTTGTTGATAGTTGTGAGTTTGTTGTCATTTTACTGTTCATAGTTTTGATCTTCTTTTTCTTAGATAACTCCCTTTAACATTTCATACAGTAAGGGCTTGGTGATGATGAACTCCTTTAACTTTATCTTACCTGGGAAGCACTTTATCTTCACTTCCATTCTAAATGATAGCTTTGCTGGATAGAGTAATCTTGAATGTAGGTCCTTATATTTCATAACTTTGAATACTTCTTTCCAGCCCCTTCTTGCCTGTAAGGCTTCTCCTGAGTAATCAGCCGATAGTCTTATGGGAACTCCTTTGTAGGTAACTGTCTCCTTTGCTCTTGCTGCTTTTAAGATTCTCTCCTTATCTTTAATCTTGAGTAACTTAATTATGATGTGCCTTGGTGTATGCTTTCTTGAGTCCAACTTCTTTGGGATTCTATGAGCTTCTTGGACTTCCTAGAGGTCTATTTCATTTGCCAGATTGGGGAAGTTCTCCTTCATTATTTTTTTCAAATAAGTTTTCAATTTCTTGCTCTTCCTCTCCCAGTTCTGGCTCCCCTATGATTTGGATGTTGGAATGTTAAAGTTGTCCCAGAGGTTCCTAAGCCTCTCCTCATTTTTTTGAACTCTTGTTTTCATTCTGTTCTGGTTGAATGCTTATTTCTCCCTTCTGCTCAAATTTTTTATATGAGTCCTAATTTCCTTCCCTTCACTGTTGTTTCTCTAAGTATTTTTCTTTATTTTACTTTGCATAGCCTTCATGTTTTCCTCTAATTTGTGGCCATGCATAACCATTTCTGTGAGCATCCTAATTACCAGTGTTTTGAACGCTGGGTCTAATACGTTGGCTATCTCTTCATCACTTAGTTGTATATTTTCCTGCAGTTTTGATCTGTTCTTCCATTTGTGCTATATTTCTTTGTCTTGGCACTTTTGTTACATTCTGAGGGGTGAAGTCTTAGGTGCTAACAAGGGCAGGCAACCCATGTCACTGCATTGCGGTGCTGTATGTGGGAGAGGGGATCAGTGAGGGAACAATGCCATTTGCTTGGCTCTTGCCAGCTTTCAATCACTTCCCCCACTACCCACAAGCAAACTGGGCTCTTCTGGTACTGATGCCCAGGTTGATGGGTTTGTGTGTGCTCTAAGACTCTGTGGGTCTCTCCAACAAACTCTCCTGTGAGGCTGGGAGTTTCTCCTGCTGCTGTAACCCCCACAAATTTTTACAGCCAGCACTTTTGAGGCTTTCTTTTCTCATGCTGGAACCCTGGGTTGCATGGTCTCTCTCGCTCTCCAGTTGTTCCTATAAACCAAATAGAGTGGCTAAAATTGAAAAGACTGATAATACTAAATGCTGATGAGGATGGGATCAATTGGAACTCTCATGCATTGCTAAAGGGAATGCAATAGAAGAGCCATTGTCGCAAACACTTTGGCAATTTCTTATAGAGTTAAACATAAACTTTTCTTATGATGCACAAATTCTACTCCTATATACTTATGCAAGAGAAAGGAAGAATTATATTCTCACAAAATTTGCACATGTATGTTCTTAACAGTTTTAAATGTAATAGCCAAAAACCAGAAACAACCCAAATGCCCATTAACAGTCAAGAGGATGAACTATGGTACAACCATACAATGGAATAGTAGTACTCAGTAAGAAAAAGAAAGGAACTGCTAATACATGCAGAGAAAACTGTATACTAAGTGATACAGAAACATATTCCCCCAAAAAAACCTAAATATCATATGATTTCATACATATGAAATTTTAGAAAAGGCAAAACAATAATGACAGAAAGCAGATCAGTGGTTATCAGGAACCAGAGATGCAGGAAAGGGTTGACTATAAAGCAGCATGGGGGTGCTTTCAGGTGATAGAAATGTTCTGTATCCTCATTTTGAGGATGGGTACATGATCATATTGATTTGTAAAACTAATCAAACTGTACACCAAAAATCCATGAATTTTATTGTGTATGAATTATATCTCATTAAGCTAACAAAAAATATAATTTATAATTTATGAAAAACCATTCAGTAATTTTCCCAATGATATATTTTTGTTGATTTGTAAATATGTCACCCATTGAATAGATTATCTCTAATTCATAATATTACTATAAAGATAAGGCCATTTTTGTTAGACATATTATTTATTCTCTGGAAATTCTATACATTATCCAATTGGAAGTTTCTAGCCTCTAAAAGAATAAAATGAAGTAATAAAGATTTTGGAAGCAAGTGGATCTAGTTTCAATATTGCCTATGTTGTTTTTCTAGCTGTATGACTGGGGAAATTTTACCAAATCTTTCTAAGCCTTGGTTTTCTCATCTATTTAATGTGGACGATAGTTCTTTTCTCAAAGCAGTTGACTTGAGGATTAAATGATAGCAATGAGGGCCTGAAGGTGGAAGATGGCTATTTGTTCAGTGCTCATATGTAACCTGTCAGGATTCAGGCAGAATTTTCAGAACTTACTAAATCCTGATATGTGGAAGCTACTGATCTCACAGGCCCTTACAGATGGATTTTAATTTCTGTCAAGTTCTCACTTTTAAGCTGCTGTTATCTGGTAAAGATACACATTGCTCTTGATGTCTACAGAAAGGGAATGATTTAAAACAAATGATTTAGATATTGTTAAAGGACTAGAAATGTTTTGGGCAAAAGAGAAAGAGTAAATGACTAAATCACCTTCATCTTGCTGCACAGACACCTGGAGCCCAACTCCTCTGTGATTCAGGCCATGAGAATAGATGGATTTAAACATCACCTGGAAAGATTTCATGTAGCTATGAAATTCTAGTTACATGAGGGAGAAAAATCTTGCAAGGGCTAATAGCTTTTGGAGGTGTTAGTCCACAGAATAGAAATTTATCTTCCAATGTGTCTAAAGTGATTTAATTAAGAACCCTTTCTCCCACATCTCCAGAAGTGAGCACTGTTCACTGAAGTATCGCTATAATGGTGTCTTTGCCTCCTGAATCACTTCTGGATCCATCAACTTCCTTCCTTCTCCATCTTTACCCCACCCCATTCAAGCCTCCATCACCTTGCTCTGGAACCGTGGTTAGGACCTAATCAAAATGATTGCTTCAGATCACAAATCTGATTGCAACATCTCACTGCAAAAGATGATCCAATGACATCCCATTCTTATTAGGATTTTTTAAAAAATCCATTAAGGCCTATGGGGCCCCATGTTCTCTGACTCTTGTTCTCTTGCCCAACCCCTTCCACCCACCCAATCCACCCTGTGCCCTTCAGCCACATTAACCTTTCATCAATTCTTCTTCTAACTCCCCCTTGGTCTCTTAAACAACAGGAATTTTGCACAAGCTAGTCTGTCAGGAATTCTCCCTCACAACCCTCATTTCATCACTCCTTCCCAGAATGTGTCCTGTGTCAGATTGAGTCTTCTCAGACACTGACTCCCAAATAGGATTACACATGCAAGAATCTTATTGAGGATCTTCTTCTGAAGGATAGAGACAGAGAGAGCAGGAGTGGGTAAAGAGCATCTTGGATCATGAAGTAGATCTGCCATCTGTGAATGAAGGGAGAGAAGGAAGAATGGGTTAGAAAGAACTTTCAACTACAGCATGATTCTGAGAAAGTTTAACCAGTGATGGGGAGTCCCCTCACAGAGGCTTCCCACTGGAGGAGTCCCACATTGGACAGGAATGGTCAGGTTCTAGCAACTCCAACCCGACTATGCTCATTGGCTGGGAGCAGCCTGGGGAGAGTGTGGCCTTGAAGTAAATGTGACAGTGGATCCAAGAGTGTGGCAGCTGGGGCCAACTGTCAACCACATTCCCACAGGTTTTCTTTCTTTTTTTTATTCTTGTTTATTCTATTACAGTTGTCCTAATTTCTCCCCCAATGCTCTCCTCTGCCCTAACCACCTGCTGCTCCCACAGTCAATCCCCACACCATTGTCCATGTCCATGGGTCATTCATACATGTTCTTTTACTAATCCCTTTCCTTTCTTTCCACCATTCCCTCCTCTCCCCCTCCCCCAGCAACTTTCATTCTATTCCATATTTCCATGTCTCTGGTTATGTTTTGCTCATTAATTTATTAGTTTCATTAGATT